AACCCACCATGATTAATCGGAATTCGTAGATTCCACACGAGAACTGAACGGACTTCTCAGCAAAGAATAAAGCTGTTGAACTGTCCCCTTCACAGATTGTCTCACTTCTTTAATTTTCCAGCAATAAAGAATCGGGTTTAATGATGAATTCGTGAAAACTAGCGACGCTGTAAAGTTCCTTGCTAACACAAAGTAGGAAGTTGTTCCAAAAAAAGTCAGCAACGCTTCCACGACACCATGAGGCATGTAACAAATGACTAGCGCAGCCTGCAGCCACAATGCACTGGTTACTGCCTTTTTATATCGAGCCATGTTCAGAGGACTTATCGTTTGTTTCTCTTTACTCTGGTTCTCTACATGAGTTTGCTGCCGACGGAGAACCAAGAAAATCTTGGTATAGGAGACCACAGATGTCCCCATACAAACTGATATCAGTATGTAACAATAGGATGTTGTTAGCAGGTAATTCCAAAAGTAGATCCCTGCGGCGCCAAGGGATACGACCCAAAAGGAGAAGACAAGAATATTGGCTCGTTTCAAAGTTACAACTTGTCGATATCTGATACCCAAAGACAAGGCGAGAAGTCTGTCAACGCTTATTGCAGATATTGTCCATAAAGACATTGAACATAGTATATAACCTGCTAAAAAGCTTATGTCGAATTTGAAGCGACAAACAGACCAGTGTCCCTGTGCGAGACTTATCTGATAGCTGGCATACACAGGTTGGGCAATAAGCCCTACACACAGATCGGTGATCGCTAAGCTTCGGAGAAGGAGCTTGGACGGCGGATGCAGCGAAGACTCCTTGTGTAAGGCAAGGAGTATCAGAGTATTTTCAAGAATTGCAGTAATGGACAGAAATATATTAATAACTGCGAGATAGACTACCTGAGCGGGTACTGTTCCGTTTGTTACTGCGGCTGAGCAGATTAACTGTCCAAGTGTTTTCTGCTGTTCATCTCCAGTTAAGTTTAAAAACGATGTCGACATGTCGAGGCGAAAGTTTGATGTTTCCTAAATTGCCTGCAATAAAGTTGATTTTTCCCTACTGCTTCAACAAAATCTTACATTGAAAATATTTAATTCTTCGAGAGGGATGTTGACTTTTCTGGTTGGAGAATTACTTAAATTCACTAGTTCCTGATATTGAGCTGACATTTATCTGTCATATTTTGATGGGAAATTTTAGATCCTGTCCTTCAACGATCTTAAGACGGCTCTGTAGTGATGCTTATGCTTAAAATAAGAACATCTTTTTTCAATTTTCCCGTAGGAGCCGAAACAGTCTCTGCCAACAATTCTCGCGCGGTATCCCGTTTCGGAATCGCTTGTGCAGATTACGTCCACGTACCCGGCGATGTGCATCTGTCAGCAAGCTGTGTGATTCCGTATTTTCCTCCATCAGGTTTAATTACTTAAGCGGTCCCTTCTTAGTCCTTTTATTTAAATAACGTGTGAAATACTCTTAGAACTTTCCATCATTATGCTTAACAAGTCAGTTAATTTGAATCGACTCAAAACAATGGATCAAACATAAATCAACTTGTTCTTTTCACCACTTGCATTTCGCTATGCTAAATTTCATCTTTTTGATAGAAGATAAAGAATGGAAATAAATTCAGTTAACCTAAGAACTAAGAATGCTAGGTTCCCTTAAAATGAATTCTTTTTTAAATCTTAAATCCATCACAAATATTCAAAACTCATTAATGATAAAAATACTCCATCGTAATTTTTTTCTGATATCTCCACAATGGTAACTCTTACTACTTTTTTAATTCCATTTATTCACATTTACGCACTTCATTTCTCCGAAAAAGCATCCCACTATCTTTTGCAAAAAGGTAGATGTTTTCGTTTTTTTTTTCTTCTTGATTTCCCTGTCACTTCTTGATTTTTAGTGACACTTACATTCACATGGCCATTAGTTGATCTGGTGCTCATGACTACTAGTTTCCTGTGTCTATCTGCTGATGTCATTTATTATTGGTGAGAACAAAAGAAGGCATTTATACAATTTTTTTCCTCTTAAATACGCAGCTTGCACGTTCACAATTCTTTGAACAGCTGCCCCATGGGAGTCATTTGTATCAACGAAAATGACTCTCATATTTAAGATTCGTTTGAAATGTCCCATTGTTCGTCCATTGTCTCTTTCGTTGCAGTTTGAGTCGTTTAAAACGGACAACCAAGTGCTGATTCGTTACTGATTAACAGCAACGGAGCACTTTAACGGCCGGTCCTTTTCACACTAGAACTGGAATCTCTTAAAACCCTAAAATCCAAGTTCGGATTGTCGATTCTCCATTCTAGCTTCTATACAATTTCTTGTTAATACGTCATGAGAATTTGGTGTTTTATCAAGATAACAGCTTCAATCTGATAAGTTTGAGTATTCTCATTATCTGTTTACTGGATATTGTATGGATATTATGAGGAGAGGTTATATATCAATCACTTTTGGTAGTTAAGGGGTTAACACTTCCTCATTTAGGTGATTTCTGAGATCTGTTTTTCTTCCACCCAAACTTTTTGTATTTTTGATTTTGTTATAAATTAAGTTTCGTGGTTATCTACTTTTTTTAAATTCAGTTTTTGGTTTCTTAACCCTTTAACTCCCCAGATCTGATTGTCAATTCTCCCCTCTAGCTGCTACACATTTCCATGCAGATAAGTTGCGAGAATTTGGTGTTAGATCAAGATAACAACTTCTACCTGATATATTTGAGTGTTCTCATTAACTGTTTGCTGGATGGTGAATGGACATTGTAGGGAGAAGTTACTTGTTAATCACTTCTGGGAGTAAACGGGTTAAAAGAATACGCTGGTACTTCAAAAGAATACAACCTAAAATCAACATTTATCACGATATTTTTCGATCAATGAATTTCTTAAATTTGGATGAAAATTCAGTGTTTTTATTCTTTTGGTTTCTAATTCCCGTCCTCCTAATTGTGGTTTTATTGAGACCACTTGTTAGAGTCATTTAGATAATCACTGAGTCATCAAAACAACAGAAAAGTTTGCTGAGAAAGTTGCAAACTTTTCATGGGCTAAATTAAACTTGACAACGTAATTAAACGCCAATCGCTGTCTTGTCTTCGTTGTGAGTGGTGCCAATCAAAGGCAATCAATATTAATGCATTAGGTAATGGATGGATGAGTAAAAAATATTGTTTCGATTAAAGACAATTGAATTTAGCGAAATTTGGATTGTAGGTCCTCATGGACTAAAACTCCCGCGCGGCCTTTAGGGTAAAGAGCAGGTGTCGCTGAACATGAATCAAATTTGGATGCATGGGCTCGAAAACTCTTTATAACCTCTGCAAAGCCCCAGGATAAGGACGAATGTGATTTTCGATCCCTTTACGGATGAGGCTGACTTGGGTCTGTGATATGAAGCTGAGAAACATAACGCTAAACAAAGTTATAAGATCCTCATCTAGTTTTCAAGGAATATTTTTCGAAAGATAGTTAAGTTATTTTAGAGACAGTAGACGCTTCTAATTTAATTTTGTGGTACAGCAAACAGGTATACCGTTAAATTTTTTTCCTTCCGTAGGGTGCCTTACACTAAGAAGGGTATTCCACTAAACAATAGCCCTGACATATCTTCTTGGACAAGAGATATCGACATCAATACCAATTTGTACTTAACCCTTTCACTCCCAAGATCTCATTTGTAATTCTCCTCACAGTCTTCCATACAATGCTTGTGAGCTTCGTGTGGAGAATTTGGTTTTGGATCAACTAATAACGTTTTTCTTCATTCTCGTCACGTGTCTTCTTGATATTGTAATATTATTTTAAACAGAATTTCTATTTTGATTACTCGTGGGAGTCAAGAGGTTACACGAGGACTCCTCTCTGGCTCTCAGCGAGATCAAGTTTGAATCTGTAACCATAACTGTTAATATTTGTCAGAACAAAAAAGAAAGAGTTGCGTGATTTCCGAAGGCTACCAAATTTGGCGTACAGGAAGTGAGAAGATCAAGCTCTCTTTGGGATACAGTCTATCAAATAAAAGACGTGGTCACTTCATGACTGTTTACTCCAAATAGCAAACAAACCGGCGGTCGACGGCGGAAGCCTTTCAATGGAAATTCAACTCCAGTGTGAATATTGCCGATCATATAAACACCTTGAAATGTTAAGCAGTTAACAACCATTTCAGCGTCATTTTCTACCTTTGAATTTGTACATGACCGAAATGATTGATCAAATTTGGATTTATGATGTAAGAAAAAACACACACATACACATGCAAACTCTATGAGATAGCCATGATGTGGGTCTTGGCTTCCACAAGTTTGTCTTACAACACAGTCGATTAGAGGCTTTGCTTACGGACAGAAATCAACGAAAACGACAGATCCTGTTACATTGCATAGTAAATTGTCTCTCTTCTTATTGTCTGCATACATAATTTTACCACTTTGTATTTTCAAATTGTCAATACTTTGCAGAGTGGAGATGTGATTACGGAGACGTGTCTACAAAAAATGTTAATCAGTGTTACCTAATATGTAACAATAACCGCTTTATGGCTTTTTCAGCGACATCTCTACTGGAGTCACGAAGGCTGAATTATCTAACTTCAAAGAGTGATTAAGTTGAGAAACTGAATCTATACATATACCAAAGGTAATAAATCTCTCGTTAACTGTTTACAGACTAGAGGTATATCTGGTCGTCACGAAGATCATGTTTTACCGACACGTTGTTTACATGCTATCGGCGTAAATGTTTACATCGAGAAATAATAAAATTGAAAACGGTGAGTATGGTTTTTTCTTACGATGAGCTGAGTAATAGGGAACACCTCTGTTCTGATCGATCAATTTATGAAAATAACCTTCCCGAAGAGCTAAACAAACTGAAGGAAAACCAAAGGACATTCTACCCTGCACAATATGACCCTAGATCTCTTTCTTGCTAACGACCAAATCATTTCAAAATAGAATGTGGAAACTTATACACTGCCCTCTCGAAAACTAACGAAGAAAAAGAGGAATTTAAAAGTGCCTAAATGAAAAAAGAAATTGCTTTTATCACACAAAAAATTTTAGTTCTATGTTGTATATGGACATAATTTAAAGAGTGTTACACATTTGACTATAATTAGTATCATGTTTTAATCATTAGGGAGATAGCGACTGTTCCTGTTTTACCCGACTCGGCTTTGTAAAGAACATTTTAAAACATATTGTAATTAATCTATTTCTCTTCTATCTTCACCTCCTGTCGATATTGTACGGTTCTTTCTTGGCCGCTGTCGAGATGAAATTGATTTTTGTCTTTGCTCTCTTGATTTTTACGACAGTGACAGTTGCAGTGAAGGTAAAGCTTTCAAATCTATTCTGATATTATGGTGTAACTACAACTCTAAGAGTTTTGAAATTGGAAAATTGACTCTGATGACGCCAAAAATTAGGTTCGATTTTGTGAAACAAAATTGATAACGATAAAGGGTTTAAAAGCTGACGTTTCGAGCGTTAGCCCTTCGTCAGAGCGACTGGAGGAATTCTGGGTTTCTCCAATAACTCTCGAGCGTAGGCTAACGCTCGAAAAGGCAGCTTTTAATAAACATTATGGCAATAGGACCAAGTGGAGTCCAATTATGTTTGTAATCATACGAGTGATGACAAAATCGGACGACCGTGCGGCGGGAGTCCGATTTATTTACCAGAAGTATGGTTACATACTTAATTGGACGACACAAAGTCTTTTTATTGATTAATCGTGAAAATTACAATTTCTGAGTAAATAAGAATAGCCAAGTTACGAAGGAAAGGGAAAATTTGCATTAAAGGACTGACAAAGGAGGCGTGATTTGTTTGATGTCGCTCTGAAATTGAATACAATCAAAATAAATGTGATTGGTTGATTTAAACTAGAACTTTGAATGTGATTGGCTTATTGAACTGTGCGATAACAACTTGGCAAGTAAATTAGTGAAAAATAGGAGTTTTTTCAAAACCAGTCACAAT